AAAAACAATGGATTAAAATGATACAAAATTATTACTTTCTATAAGTACAAAAACCACCACCTCCATGCCTTCTTCAGCTCGAAGGGCTTTTTTCAGTTTATTCATGACAATCTGCATTAGTATAATGTTATTATTATTATTATTATTATTATTATTATTATTATTATTATATGCACATTTATATTTGTTTTATTAAAAACAAGTTTAGATTTGTCCATCTGTCAGGTTTTAGACCATATGGTGCAGAGCATGTGTGTTTGGATATAACTTGACCACTTTTTTGAGCACACTTCGTTAATTATTGCTCAATTATTCATTTGCTGGAGATTAGAATTGAATTTAGAAATAGTTTTGAAGCAAATCTTTGCGCCTAGCAAACAAAATTATAATTATGTAGGCTAATGGATGTGTTCAGCAGACGGAGTACAACATGTTTCCTTGTCCACGAAAGAGTGGAAGTAAAGAGGCTGAATGGAGGAGGCTCGTTCTTTATTCTTGCGCTGCAGATGCTCTGTTTAACTGTTTTCTCCCTAGTGAAGCGTTCAGTTTTTACACTTATAAAGTCCACCGTGTAAATAGCAAATGCACCATGGCACAACGCAACTGACTCTTAAGGGAATGGGAGATGAGACTCTGATTGGTTTATTCTTAAAACACACCCAGAACTCTTTAAAAGAATAAGCTCAACCCTGTTAGACCATGCGCTGGGGCACAGAGCGTGTTTTTAGTCCTTAAAATAGCAAAAGTGGATTCGGATACGCCCTCAATGCTTTTGCGCCCTGCGATTTAGACGTTGCGCATAGAGTGTTAAAATACAGCCCAGAACCACACTTTGTTATATCATTGTAAAGATAAACCTGTTTATATAAGTGAAGTTTATTCATAAACAAATTTCGAGAGGATCACGTGCTTATGATTGTTCACAGCTGTTAAAACTTTAGCTAATGACTGATTATCCTATCAAACGATCCTTAACTCACTATAAATAACCAGACTTTTCTCATCTCAATATCTTCGTCTTGAAGAAACCCCCCCCACCCAACCCTACTTTCCCTCCTTTCAAACAGGCGTCACAGTGGCCAGCGATTAGCGCTGTTGCCTCACAGCAAGAATGCCCCTGGTTTAATACCTTTCCAAACCAGAAGGCATTTCTGTGCGGATTTTGCTCGTTCTCCCCGTGGTCGCGTGGGTTTTCCCTAGGTCCTCCGGTTTCCTCCCACAGTTCAAAAACAAGCACTCAACAATTAATCAAAATACATTAGCTAATCTCTGAGTACACCTTTCAGCATTCATATCTGACACTTAGCTACAACAAGCAAGAAGGGGAGTCATCGAGATCTACCTGAGCTCAAACTCCCCTCTCGCCTTGCAACGGGAGGGAGCCCAGGGCTCGAGGATCTTATAAGCTCAGGGCTCTCTCCCGGGACAGCACGCCAAACTAGCTTTATTATCAATCATCAGCTAAGTGTGAACTCTTGAAATACTATAAATGAGAAGGACCTCTTTCCTCCTTAATCCCCGGGTCTGAATGCTGACACAGTGGATAGCAGTGCAGCAATATAGAGGACATTAAACATGTGCAGCACAGCAGCACAGATATAGGCGATGTGTCTGAATGGTAACAAACTCAACTGATAAAAGATAAAGGCCGCCATTCTCCAATTTTACAGTTCAACAGACAAAATGCTTGTTGTACACTGCTTGGTGTGTGTGTGTGTGTGTGTGTGTGTGTGTGTGTGTGTGTGTGTGTGTGTGTGTGTGTGTGTGTGTGTGCATCGTGAGTGTGTGTGTGTGAGTGTGTGTTTAAAAGTGTTTGCATGTGAGTGTGTGTGGGTCTGTGGGTGTGTGTGTGTTTGCGTGTGAGTGTCTGTGTGTGTCGAGAGAGAGCGCGAGTATGTGCGCTCATGTGTGTGTTATTGCGTTTAAAAGTGTTTACATGTGAGTGTGTAGAGTGCGTGTGCATTTGCGTGTGTCTGAACTAGTTTTTGAGAGAATTTGCATGTGTGTGTGTGTGTGTGAGTGTGTTTAAAAGTATTTGCATGTGAGTGTGTGTGGGTCTGTAGAGGTGTGTGTGCTTGAGTGTTTGAATACGAGTGTCTGCACGTGTCTATGTAAAGAGAGAGAGTGTGTGTGTGTGTGTGTGTGTGTACACTGCTTGGTGTTGGTGTGTGTGTGTGTGTGTGTGTGTGTGTGTGTGTGTGTGTGTGTGTGTGTGTGTGTGTGTGTGTGTGTGCGCATGTGTGTGTTAATGCATTTAAAAGTGTTTGCATGTGAGTGTGTGTGGGTCTGTAGGTGTGTGTGCTTGAGTGTTTGAATACGAGTGTCTGCACGTGTCTATGTAAAGAGAGAGAGTGTGTGTGTGTGTGTGTGTACACTGCTTGGTGTTGGTGTGTGTGTGTGTGTGTGTGTGTGTGTGTGTGTGTGTGTGTGTGTGTGTGTGCGCATGTGTGTGTTAATGCATTTAAAAGTGTTTGCATGTGAGTGTGTGTGGGTCTGTAGGTGTGTGTGCTTGAGTGTTTGAATACGAGTGTCTGCACGTGTCTATGTAAAGAGAGAGAGTGTGTGTGTGTGTACACTGCTTGGTGTTGGTGTGTGTGTGTGTGTGCATGTGTGTGTGTGCGCATATGTGTGTGTTAATGCATTTAAAAGTGTTTGCATGTAAGTTTGCGTGGGTCTGTGGGTGTGTGTGTGTGTGTTTGCGTGTGAGTGTCTGTGTGTGTCTAAGAGAGAGAGAGAGCGTGCGAGTATGTGCGCATATGTGTGTGTTATTGCGTTTAAAAGTGTTTACATGTGAGTGTGTAGAGTGTTTTGTGTGTGTCTGAATTAGTGTTTGAGAGTATTTGCATGTGTGTGTGTGTGTGTGTGTGCGTGCATGTTTGAGAGTGTGCGTATGAGTGTATGTGTGTCTGTGTGACTAAGAGAGTTTGCGAGTGTGTGTATGTGTCTGTTTGTTTGGAGCGTGTGTCTGTGTGGAGTGTGATTGAATGCGTGTG